TTACTATCAACAAGTTCTTGCATTGCTTGGACTTGTTGAATGTTTGCAGTTGCTAGAGAAGCATGGTGGCCCAACCCACGGTGGGGCAGATGGAACTCCCAGGTATTTTTCTCCTAAGGGGCTGGATATTCGCCAAGGTGGAGATTTGTTATGGTATGGCTCATATACCATATTGGGACAGACGCTGGATCGAAGCGGAGCGGAGCGGAGCGTAGAATCTGTCCAAATTGGGAAGTTACGTGGGTTGGGGTGCGGGGGCAAAGCCCCGCGGTTTGGTACAGGGGTAATGTTGTAATTACATATTGTGCCTAGGTTTACTCCTGGGGTTATAAATAGGCCTGTTAGTAACCCCAGGAGGTATCCTCTATTCTGTAACCCTTTTCTGAATATTGAAAGTAACTCGCCGCTCTGCTCCCGAGGACGTAGGCATCTTTGCCGAACCTCGTTAAATCTCTGTGTTCTTCTGGATTTGTGTCGATTACTGTTTTTCTTCGCCCTTATTTTCTCAACAAACCCAATTTATGATCCAATAACTATCATCCATCGAAGCTCTTATAGATAATATTACCACTGCAGGTGACAAATTGATCAAGAGGATATTACCCTCTATACACTCAATGGATTGCCACTTCAATATCAAGCATTCAAAACCACTATCAGGACAAAAATACAACCAATTCACTTGGAAGACTTTTATTCGCTGCTTTTGCAGCGAAGAATGGAACCTTGCCTGTTGCTGCCTCAAATTGGAAGCATCTCTCAATCCTTAATTCGCTCTACAAATGACTTGGGGCCGCAACACTAATTCTATGAGAGGTTATGGCTGTACTCAGGCCAATTCCACCTCCCGTTGAAGAGGCAGTCGTAATAATTCCAATTTCACAACTGTATGTCAAATCTGCGGCGGGAATAGTCATTCCGTATCTACCTACTGGCATTGAACCAATTGAAACTATACAGCTACTCTTAATCAACTATTGGCTGCTAATGCCTCTAATTGGGTCTTGGCTCTGGTGCTGCTGCACATCTTACATCAAATTCGAACAATTTGCACATAGCTACACCCACAAATGGCGCTGAACAAGTTCTTGCCATGAATGGACAACAAGTTCAGGCTCAACATGCAAGGGATGGAATCTTACCAACTCCTAACCGTAAGCTGCTACTTCAAGAAATTTGGCATGCATCGCGCCCTCGCTATCTTACCAACTCCTACCCGTAAGCTGCTACTTCAAGAAATTTGGCATGCACGGAGCCCTCGCTATCTAATAATCCACTCTCAGTTCACAATTTTACTCAGGATAATGAAGTGCTGTACTTTTTTATTCCACTGCCTTTACTATACTTGATGCACAGACTCGCAAACCATTGCTCCTGAGCCCCATTCTGATGGCTTATATCCAATCAATTTAAAACACAAGGGTCATCAACCTTTTGCTTATAACTTCGATCTTATGGCTTCAGCAAACGGGTCAATGATATGGCACTGAAGACTTGGACGTCCTAGCTAGGGCTGTCAAAACGGCTCGTTGTTCGCGAACAACTTGTGTTCGGCTTGCTAAAAAGCTCGTGTTCGGCTCGTTCGCTAAGTTAACGAGCCAATTTGTTCGTGTTCGG